TCTTTCCCCAGCTTAATTTATTATCATGAACAATGTAATTTGGCTTTAGAGTATTTTTTCACACTAAATTTTTAAATTTAAATAAACAATCATCAAGTGAGAATAAGATTAATGAAGATGATTCTATTTAGGTTGCAATTATTAACACCTTCCAGAGTTAATAAAACCATTGAGGAATTTATACTGGGTGAAGTTCCTCTCCAGAAATTCTGTCTCTCTTTCTACTGAGTTGAACCTGTAAAGACCAGCTGGATTACTCTTTGATCAAATGACTGTTAAGAAGAAGGGAAATTAACTCAGCATATTTGGTTTAAGGTTGTGACTTATAGAAGGTTTTCCAGAGACTATCACTTCACACAGTTCCCTTTGCAAATTGGCACTCAAAATATGCATCGAGGTGATTCTTTCTTGGCCTTTTTTAACCACTCCATTTTACTTTTTGTCTTCAGGTGTGGGTGGATGCTGGTACACAGATATTTTTCTCTTATGCGATCTGCTTGGGGTGCTTGACAGCCCTGGGAAGCTACAACAACTATAATAACAACTGCTACAGGTAAGATTTCCCACTCTGTTTTCACATTTATTTTCAGTGATGGAAGTCTCCACGTGCATGGCTTTGTTCAGAAGCACTCTCCTTTTTCTGTAGCTGTTAATCATAAGCACATGCTTTTGTAGAATAGAGATCTACAATGTTTCTTACAAGTATTTCAGAGGTCTTTTCTGAAATTTGGTGTTTTCATCCCTTTGAGTCATGTCTGACACTTTCAGAAGCCATTCAGTACACAAAAGTATACACACACACAAAAAAACCCCACCCATCTATAATATAGAGATTTTCATACATGTACAGTGGCATTTATGTGCAAGATTTCATTGTATAAAGTATATCTGCTAAGAAAAAGAAAAAAAAATCCTACCATAAAATTGGTATTAAAGCTCGCTTGAGTTTGCTCTGCACTCTGAATGTCACTTTTCCCCATAGTTTACTGGCTCCTAATCAGAGCACAGAAGAAATAGATAGCATTTCATTGCTTATCTTTGCAGAAATCAGTGAAGAAATTGCTAAGGACTTCAGTAGATTTTAGTCTTTCCTGAATCAATGTCAAAAGGGTATGACACAAAATCCTCATTCCATTTTACTGGCACAGGCAGGAATAGGAATACTATTTTCTTCTGGCACCAGTAGTTATTGAACTAGTTTTCCTGCTGTTCAAGAGCCTCTAACACAAGACAGTAAATGACAATTTGATTGTATGGACTTCATTATAATCTCCAGACAGAGAATTAAAACTTCCTTTTTCTGTAAAGGAAATACCAAAAGTCCAAAAGCAAAAGTACTCCAGACACACCATGCTCAAACCCCCAGAAGTGTAAGGATTTCAATTCTTAATTACAGTTTTAATTGGAGACTTCAGGAGACAGTTTTAGGAAGTGCCTTCTACTTTTAATGTCTTAGCAAAAATTTACTCTTCTGTCAGAGAAACAGTAAAAAGTAGGACCTTCCAGATAGAGAAGGGTTTGGGATACTGGAAAACACAGAAGCAGGAATCTGTCCCCAAGCTGAACATCTGCAGAGCTGTCCAGTGGCAGTGAAGGGTTCTCTGCCTTCTAAACATGCACAGGAACTTAGCAACAACAGAAGTAACTCTTTGCTTGGCTATGACAGCCAAAATTCAACATTTTTTGCTGCGTACTGTAAGTCCCCCCCCAGGCTTTGGTGCTGATTGATGCTGTTTTCAGACTACCGATAAATATGCCCCAACAGAGGGCAATGAACACCCCTACAGAACAGTGGTAATCAAAGTCCTCCCTAATGAGCATAATCACTGATGCTTTAACAAAGGTACTGCTCCTTTTCTCTCTGATTTTATTATTTCATTTCCATTGCATCTCATCTAGAAACTACTCTGTCACTGCCTGAAGGACTGAAGTAATCTTTTTACTGTGATTTTGTAAGTCATTACAAAAAAACAGTTTTGATGTGTGATCAGATAGCTTATGTAATTTTCCTTCTTTTCTTCTGACCCTAGCAGCATAGCTTGTAAAAAACAGTAACAGCTCTCTTTTAAAGCTTCTGAGCAAGATGCTACAGCAGAATAGTTACAACAGAACACTGAATCCAAGCTTCACAACTTCAACAAAACATTTTCACGTACTTCCTGAATAGGGCAGGTTGGATTGTGTCCTGAAGTATGATTCCCAAGAAACCTGAGGAAGGGGGTAGGACAGAAGTTAACTGCAAGAAAGCAGCTGAGTTAAAGAGGGTTGTTAACAGGGGAAGACAAAAACAGCTATGCTGTGGAAAGCCAAATGAAATTACTATTCTAACTAGTATTTAAAAATATTCAAATCAAGCTATGGATTCACCTCTTGCAATGCCCACAGTATATTGTCTGACTGTAACATCTATGTCCACTCTTTTTGCACTCTGTTTTGCTGAATTTCTTTTTCTAATGGAAAGTTGCAGTGGAAAATAATGACATGAGGTATTTTAGTGGGAAATGGGAAAATCTATAAGCATGTTTTTTTTCTTATTAGCAACTTGATCTAATTCATTAACGTTGTAAACTAATTGCAGACAAATCACATATTTGAATAGGAATTGAATTCTTATTGTTCTTACTTTATCTTTCACTGTAACACATGAATATAGAGCCTCCCTGGATTTACAACAGTTTGTGTCAAAAGTAATTCTTATGAAAAGATGAAAGTAATGGTTGTAGCATCAGCAGGCAGCGTTTTCCCCACATAAATAAAAGAAAGGTGTACTGATATTTCCTCTAATTTTTATCAAGTTAAGAATTCCTAATCCAGCCAGACCTTCTAAAGGGATGGATTGTCTTCAGACAACCTCTGTGGACAGAAGAGGAAAATGTTCTTGTTCCTGCTTCCTGTGCTCTGTACTTGCACAAATGACCCAGCTCCCTACCAGACACCGTGACATTCCCCACAAGGGCAAAACCCATGTGCTTCCACAGCACCCATCCTTTGTACTGGAGGCTGGATGATTTTTATATGATTTATTTTATTTTATGATGATTTATCACCTCAGCAGGATGATTTTTGTATATGAACCCCATGTACAAATAAGGGGTTATTTGGCTTCCGTGTTGCCACTGTGACACAGAAGATAAATGAGTGATGTCACATGTGGTCAATAAATTCACAAAGCTTTTAAGAAATGCAGATATGTCCTTTGTTAATCTTCTAGTCAAAGAGGAAAAGAGGAAAGGAAATTGGAAATAACTGGAGGGATGCAAAAGGCTCCGTGGGCTCTTCTCTCCAATCAGAGAAGTTCCTTAACGAAGGCAGAATCAATTTTCAGCAGTATCCTGCCTGTCAGGCAGGAGAAGATAAAGGAAGCACATCCTGAATTATTCAGGTGATTGGCAGGACATTAATTTGGAAGAATGTGAAGTTTTCATAAAAATTTGAAGTTTTCCTTTCATGTGAAATCAATCTGGGCTTCAGTCAGGCTCTGATGACTCCCTACCAAGGATGCTTATAAAAAATGGATGGAGAATTAGATAAACTTCATGTTCTCCTTATACTAGTTCTTGGGCATTCGTCTTTTAAAATTCCTTGGTTTCACAACCAAGGGGTCCAGATTCCCTTCTCACTTTTCTCCCCATAGCAGCAAAAAACCTGAACTACAGGTTATATACTTCTATCTAAGGGAAAGATACAGAAATTGAGGGGTTAGTGGAATTCCTGCAAGGATAAAAGATGGAAATTAAAATTGGAGGTGGTGTTTTTGTTAGGACAGGAAACATTGCTAGGTCACCATAGAACTGAATGTTCAGTCTGTGACTTTCTAACTGGGGAAGAAAATGATGGAGCCATGGCTGTGTTATATCAAAAGAATAGATACCTCTCTGATGGGAGATGATGAAAAGCCCCTTTAGCTTCATGTTTGCCCTTGGGCTCTGAAGGGGCACACGGAGCAATCAACCTTTTTTCTCGTAGTTAGGAACCAGAAGCTCCCATTCACCAATTAAAAAAAAAAAAAGTAAAGGGGGGGGTGGGGGTGGGGGCATGGGGTGGAAATCATCTTGTTGTTTGGACTGCATTTAGAGCCCAGGTATTATCTAAAATAAATCTTATCTGTAGAAAACAGGCAGTTCCAAATGGAAGCGTTGTACAAGGGATGAGCAGCCAGATCCATCCCACTGAAGTAGCATCTTTTTTGTCTTCTAAAGGATTAAAAAATACATCTTTCTGACATCTCTTATCGACAGAGTTTCGTCCCACTTAGTTTTAATTTCTCAGCACTGAACTCACCAGTTTTTCTAGGTGAGATAGGCCGGAGTGAGAATCTCTCCAGAGCTACTTCAGTGCTCAAATACACTGAGAAGAAGGGCTAGGAAGATTATATTTTTCTTTGTTTTCTTTCTCTGCAAAACATAAAGAAACATAAAGAACTCCATGCTCCTAGTTGCTTTCTTTTAGATTGCTTCTGGACTTTAAAACATCCAAAGTGTATAACTACCCTGGCTATGCATAACTACATGAAGCAATATGAAAAGCAAATAAATAACAGGTTAGAATTCTGACTGTTTCTCAGAAACTATTTTAAAGGACCTTTTTACCTCTGCTATTGAACAAAGATTGTTAGAGTCCTTGCACGAAGGAAATGTGAACATTATTTGACTTGTCCATGTCTGAGTCTTCATCTACAAATGGTTGTGTTGAGTCTTCATTTCTGGACAAATTTTTGGCAATTTATATATGCCATGTTTTAATGTGAAATAGTTATGGAAACATAAAACATCTTCAAGGTAATGGTTAAAATTAACTGTAGATAAGGTGATGAGAGAGCACCAAAGCCTCCCCGGGCCCAATGGCCATAGTTCAGGTGGTCACTCACTCTGCAGTGTTGGTACATACACCTGCTTCCTACCATTTAGAATGTACCTGATGTTCAGGGGAATCACAGTCAGCAACAGAATGTGTGAGGCAGGGCTCTCCAATGAAGGAATAAGATGCTTAGACTGGTCACCTCACTTTCAGCGTAATAAACTGATGAGAGAAAAATACCAAATGAAACAAGCAACAGGACAGAGAAATTACCAAAGATGATTTGCCGGAATATATGCCAGGACTTCAAAAATATTAATTGACTCTGATGCTCAAAAAATCACTACGAATCTGTGACAAAGGTGGGAATCATTACTAAAGATGTGGACCCAGAACCTGTTGGATTTTACAAGATTTCTTCTCATAGGTAGCTTGCACAAAGATTTGCTTTGGAGCTGCAGTAGGATGGGAATAAACCAGACTAAGGTATAGGCTTGGCAGAGATACAGGCTTGCCTTGTGTTCAGTGATTTAGAATCCTAATTTGCTTTCAAGCATCTAGGTTAGATTATTACTTTCTCAAGTACACAGCTATCTCTCACAGCAGAGTCTTAAAAGACTGACTGTCATGATAAATCATTGCTACTTCATCATCTGTCAAGTCTGAAGTGCTGTCTGAGAGCAGGATGAACGATACTTCACTGAGCTCTGGGGAACGATCACACCTTTCTGCAAGAGTATTTTCCCTTTTTTTTGTAAAGTGATTTACTATTGTGACTTTTCCACTGTGTGGGAAACAAAACATTTCCTCACCTTGGCCTTGTAATTGTCATTGTTTGACGTGTAGGATACATCAGTCAGAGAGATCAGTGTCCTTACACTGTCTTTGCCTTGTGAGGCAGTCTTTTAGGCATCTAAACAATTCTTAGATTATATACAATGCTTTTAATCACCACAGCTTCTTAAAATGTTTATAAACCAGACTGGAATTGTATTTCCTGTGGATGTATATACTATAACTGGAACAGAATTAGCCAAGCTCTGACCATAGGATTTTTTTCCAGGAAATAAAAATACCATTTTTTTGTTGTTGTTTATGAACATCTTCAACCTCTGGAATACATTATTATGACTGCTATAGAAAAATTGCTCTTAACATCGTTCTTGCAGTATTTTTATATGTTTTAAAGATTCTATCAAAAAAATGAGTAGCAACAGGTTTGCAATTGAACTGGTTAAAACACAAACGAGGGTGTTCTGAGGACATCTTCCTGCAAACACCTGTGCCTGACTGATTTCTCTCAGGCATAGTATCAGCTGGGAGCTTACTCTTAATGAGCAACTTAACATCCATTCCTGCAGCCTGGGGTTCTATTAGTTCTATGTTTCAGTCTACGAAGGAAACCCAGGGTCTGGAGATCAACTGCAGTGTTTTTTATTTATATTTTCAGAGACTGCATCATGCTCTGCTGCTTGAACAGTGGCACAAGCTTTGTTGCTGGTTTTGCTATCTTTTCAGTTCTTGGATTTATGGCTTATGAACAAGGCGTGCCCATTGCGGAAGTCGCAGAATCAGGTAAGTTCCAAGAGCAGTTTTCTGAGTTAACAAAAAATGTCCAGACGTTGCTGTCAGAATACTTAGTTTGTGCCCTGTCTTATGGATACCTTGGTTGTTTTGCAAAACTCCTCCTAAAAACCTGTTACCTGGCTCATTAGAATAACTACTGTAAGAAGACTTAAATATTTTTATAGTCATACATTTGTGTGTGAAAAATGTTGTTACTCTGTATAGCACCAAATTCATAAACTCAAGGAGCTATTGTAACGCAAACTTTCTCCAGCTGAGCATCCAGAAGATTGTTTAACAGAGATGTATTACTCAGTTAAGCACCTTGGTTGTTCTATCCTCATGAAAGGAGCTTTCTGTTTCCTTCAGATGAAAGAGACTGAAATCCACACAAACATTTGTTCCCTGCAGAAAAAGTAAAAGAAAAAAGATATAGCAGTTGAAGTTCTTGGTTTGAGCCATGAAGGCACAAGGGCCCAACTCTATGAAAACTTAACCATCTAACTTTCATTACAATCACTTGGAGTTAGGCATCTGATGAAAGTTAATTGCTCTTTAACACTTCTGTGCATGTAACATCTTTTAAGCATCACTTAAAACTCAACAGAACAAAAAGAACAGGAGCACTGCTTAGAAAGAAAAGCAGTAGAATGTTGAACTATTGAGAAATGGAGAAATGACTCTCATGAATTTAGTCAAGGGTAGCAGGAAAACTGCAGAGCGAGTAGAGCTTCACTGATAACTCTCATGGAAAATATTTCTTTTCTCCTAAAGCTCACAAGACAACTGGTTTATACTATTATAGGAACTATAGAGTAAAATGTTAAAAGACTACAGCAACTCTGGAAATTACAGGAGCTTGTAAATACTGTGTTAAATGAAAAAGCAAAGTGTGTTGACAGGTCTTCACTGAAGTTACTGCAGCAGGAGCACAGAGATACTCCTTTATTAGCCCTGTGATATTGCCTTTGTACCCCTGCTTAAAAAGCTGGCTAGCTTCAGTAAAAGCTGTTACAGCATGAGAGTTTGCAGCAGCTGAAAAATGAGCTCAGGTAAATAGGAGCTAGGTATTTTAGCTGATCTGAGAAGTTACTGATGCTATTGCAAAAATGTTGCATTTTAAAGGTTTCCGTAAATATGCAGCCCGTGGATTGTTGGTATGTACCAGCAGCACTCAAAAATGAAGAGCAGATTTTGAACCAAAAACCAGTAGACACTTGGCTTGCATCATGTGTGGCTTCCAAGATGCAGCTCTTGCCATTGATCTTCAAACCTTTGGCAGAGTTGATGTGCCAAGCAAGGCTTCATTAATCATTAGCCTCATCACCAAATATTTAGATTATTAGTGATGCTAAGTTTGTCAAGGTTTTCAATCTTATATTTAGCTTCTTGTATCTGCCGTAGAAGAATAATCAAGTTGTGGTAGGTTAACCCTCACCAACAGCTAAGCATCCACACTGCTGTTCATGCACTTCACTCACCCCAGGGGACGGGAAATGGAAGAGAGAAAGTGAGAAAACTGGTGGGTCCAGGTAGATGCAGTTTATGAAGTGATGCTGTGCAAGCACTGTTCAGGAACAGGCACAGTGCTGGTGTTAGCAGTGCTGCTCTTTCCACCAACCCAAACCT